TTTTTTTTTTGAGGCAGTCTCACTGTGTAGTACAAGATGGCCTTTAACTCATTTATGTAGCTCACACTGCCCTCAAACTCACAATCCTCCTGCCTTAGCCTCTCTTATAAGTAATACCATCAAAATTTTGCAATTACTTTTTGACTCAAAAATTACACTCCTATGAATAATCTTACAGATTAATGTTTGTAGCTGGGAGATAACTCAGAGGTCTAAGTGCCTGTCTGGCAAGCCCAGGACTTGTATTTGATCCTGGGAACTGCATGCTGTGTGGCCACACCTTGGCAGGCACTGACTGATACCCGAAACCAGGCATGGTGGTGCATGCCTATAATCCCAGTGCTGGGGAGGCTGAGAAAGGAGTCTGAGCTGTATATTGAGGCCCTGTACCAAATACCAAATACACAAATAAATAAAAGATTTAAAGAAATTACATAAACGTTTGTGTGAGCCCTACCTTACATTTCGCTCCCAGGTACCGATTTTTAAAAAAGTAAGTCTAGGACTGGAGATACAGCTTAGTGGTAGCACGCTGCCTAGTAAGCCAGAGGCTCTGGATTAGGTCCTCAGCACAGAAAAAAAAAAAAAAGGAATTAGAAGGCAAAGAAGAAATTTACTAGTTAGGGTGGGTCAAAAAATAGACGCTTCTGGCTTCTGTCATTTCAAGAAAAGACCGCCCATCCCAGCGTGGAGAAGGGGTGTCAGCCCAGCCCCGGGCCACTGCGGGATAGCTGAGGTGGTTGGTCTCTGCCCCCATACCCCCATGACCCTTCCCCGCCCCTGGGCGCCACAAACAGTAACAAGTACTCGCCGTCTTTCTCAGCGTGTGAGAAAATAAAGGTAAGGGAGAAGAGAAGTTTGGAGCGTGGCGGGGAAGACAGCAAGTTAAAGAATTTCTTCCAATTCCTCCCCGGGATCCCCGTTTTTCTTCGTGAACTGCGGAACTGAGGGGCTGTGGTAGCAGGACAGGCGGAAAAAACAACAGAAGGCCCCGCTGGACCTGAAGAATCTAGTTCCTCGGAAATAAGTCCCATCTTTGGGCTTGTGCTCCAAATCCTGTAAACTACCAGCCCCAGACGCAAATTTAAATCGTGAAAGCTTCTCCTTTATTCACCTCTTAACCTACCTTCACGGAGAAACAAGTCACGGCCCCCAGGTTGCCTCAGTTTGCGCACTTCAGGCCGACGGATTTGTGCGCGCGCTGCTCGCTGATTGGATCTGCTCCTGTCCATCCCAGCCAATCCCGTAACTCGCTCGAAAGCTGACAGCACGCTGCGCCGCTGCTTTGGCATTGGTAGCTGAAGTGTGCGTCGCACCTTTTGTGACGCTTCAGGCAAAATGGCGGCAGAGAGTTGTAGCGACTCGCGGCTAAGAGGAAGGCGCCGCCGGGACACAGAGGAATCCGACAAAACAGAGTTCAGCCCGAGAGAGCTAGCAGTGACTCAAGAAAACGATGAAGAGAATGAAGAGCGCTGGGTTGGGCCTTTACCTGTGGAGGCAACGCTGGCAAAGAAGAGGAGAGGTAGGTGCACAGATCGAACAATAGCAAATTGGCATGCTGAGCCTGCTAAGTGGGAGGTTTGAATTCCTGCAAGACACGAAGAGGGGTAGTGTGTGATGATGGGGTATTGTGCTCAGAACAGGTTGCCCTCTGTTTTCTGGCAACTTGGTACTGTAACATCCACCTAGAATGGTGATGTGGGTTGGAATGTGATTTTGCTAGTATGTAACAATTGGTGGCCGATGTGTTTGTTATATTTGATGCTAAAGCAAACGTGTTTGGTGCCTCTCATTTAATCCCCTAGCAGTCCCGTGAGGTTGGATTTGCTAAATCACCGTTTAGCAAAGGTGGGCAAGAGTGCTAATTCTAAGTCTTTAGTTAGGAAGCGGTGTCACTGGGGTACTGGAGGAGGGAAGTGCCTATTTAGAATTATAAAGAAGAATTTGAACCCTGAGTATTCTAATGAATTTTCAGACCTAGGGAAAGTTGTCTAAGCT